GACCCTAGCAAGTAACCAGACCTCTAGTGACTGTGGCTGGCCCAGCATCCGTGCTCCCAGGGGAGGGCTGGGGGCTGGTGCAATTCCTACATTCAGTGCATCAGATGACCACAGTGCGTCAAATCAGAAAGTGCAGATTGAACAAGGACAATCCTCAGAATCCCACACTGCTAGAAGGACTTGACCGCTTCAAGACCTTACGTGAGTTTTCCCCGTGCTCCCAGGGGAGGGCTGGGGGCTGGTGCAATTCCTACATTCAGTGCATCAGATGACCACAGTGCGTCAAATCAGAAAGTGCAGATTGAACAAGGAAAATCCTCAGAATCCCACACTGCTAGGACTTGACCGCTTCAAGACCTTACGTGAGTTTTCTATCCCTGAACATTTAGAGTGAATTTCCTAAGGGGTGTGGGCCTGGCCTGAGCCAGCACACTGGGTCGGTCCGCTCACTGCACCTCAGCTCCAGCCCTGTCTGTGGCCGGCGGAGGTGGGAGCAGGAGCTCACGGTTCGATTCCCAGTTAGGGCACATGCCCAGGTTGTGGGCTCGGTCCCCAGTACAGGGCATGTAGGAGGCAGCCAATTAATGATTCTCTCTCATCATTGATGTTTCTATCTCTCTCTTCCTCTCTGAAATAAAAAATACATTTAAAAAAAAGATTCTCCTAGCCCAGTGGTCGGCAAACTGCGGCTCTTTGGCCCCTTGAGTGTGGCTCTTCCTAAGCCTTAGAAGTACCCTAATTAAGTAGTTTAAGTTTAAAAAAATTGGCTCTCAAAATAAATTTCAATCGTACTGTTGATATTAGGCTCTGTTGACTGAGTTTGCCGACCACTGTCGTAGCCTCTCACCCTCTTACCCTGCCTGGGTGCCTCAAGTCTCTTGGTATTTATCAACCTGTGATCACAGGTGTCAGCCACCACCTCTGCCATTAGCTGTGTGTCCTCGGGCAAGTAACTAGACCTCTCTGCATCTGTTGTGAAAATTCAGGGGGTGAATGAACACACAGTGCTGAGGCCAGAGCCTGCACACAGCAAGTTCTCCGTCATTCAGTGGAGAACATAAGCCCTGTGAGCAGCTGGACCTCTCATACATGCCCTGTGTGTGTATACATACATACATACATGTGCGGAATGGCCACTTCTCAAATTCAAATGCCCCAGACAGCCCCAAAGGTGGCATCCTCACTTCACAGATACAGAAACAGGTCATGTTGGGGGACGGTCACTGATATCACAGGTCCTGACACGTTTTCTTCCTACCTGCTCTGTGCCAGCCACTGTGCCAGAGGCCGAGGGTCTAGCATCAAGGAGACCCCCGTCCCTGCCCTCGGGGACCCTTGCAGAGATGAGACCCTTGTTCCTGTCCCACTCCACAGCTTTGGTCCAGGGCCTCTGAGGACGCATGCTGGGCTCCGGGCCCAAAGCCCTGCCTCCAGGGGCTGACTGCATGCAAAGGCAGAGTTCCTCCTGGCCCTCCAACCCTCCCAGTGAGTGCATGTGACCCTGCCCACTTCTTGCCAGACCTTTGTTTTATTTGGAAGCAACCTTGCCCAGAACCCTCCCGCAGTTCCCATACCTGCCAGTGAAGGGCAGACCCATCAGTGCCACGTCCGCCTCACCTCCCTGCACCCAGATGCCCGGGGCATCTGCACTGGCGAAGGTTACACATGACAGCATGGTCGGGGGGTCCGGGACGGGTGATGCGAAGGATAGCACACCCGTGAGGCACACCTCTATGGATCAGGCAGAGGTGGCTTGGGCAGGGAAGGGCTGCAGTGCTGATGGGGATAGACTTCCAGGGGTGGCCTGCTGGGTACCGGATGCTGCTAGTTGCTTAGAATGTGTATATACTGGTATATTATATATATACGTGTGTGTGTGTGTGTGTGTATCCATCCATCCCAAGGGCCACGGTGCAGCAGACCACCTGCGGGGAGGCCAGGGAGTTCAGACACCACTATGCTCGCCTTTGCCTTAACTCAGAGATGGTGGCCCTGAGTGAGCTGGACTTCGCAGTGAGGGCTCACTCGGGAGCCGTGCCCAGTCCCTGCAGGCCGAGTATATAATTTTTTTAAGAGGAAGAGAGAGAAACATCAGTTTGCTGTTCCACCCATTTATGCATTCACTGGTTGATTTTTTTTTAAACGTCATTTTATTGGAACTACCTTTTTAAAAAAATACCTTTTATTGAATTTTTTACAGAGGAAGGGAGAGGGATAGAGAGTTAGAAACATCGATGAGAGTGAAACATCCATCAGCTGCCTCCTGCACACTCCCCACTGGGGATGTGCCCGCAACCAAGGTACATGCCCTTGACTGGAATCGAACCTGGGACCCTTCAGTCTGCAGGCTGAAGCTCTATCCACTGAACCAAACCTGTTAGGGCGGAACTACCTATTTTTGTTTGTTTTGTTCATCCTCACCCGAGAATATTTTTCCATTGATGTTTAGGGAGAGTGGAAGAGAGAGGGAAAGACAGAGAAACATCAATGTGAGAGAAACACACCGACTGGTTGCCTCCTGCACGCACCCGACCAGGGAGGAGCCTGCAACCAAGGTACGTGCCCTTGACCAGAATCGAACCTGGGGCCCGTTGGTCCACAGCTGACACTCTATCCATGAGCCAACCTGGCTAGGGCTGGTTGATTCTTTTATGTCCCTCCACTGGAGATTAAACCCACAACCCTGGGGTATTGGGACACTGCTCTAACCAACTGAGCCTGGGCTAGAAGAATATATATTTAAATTTGCTGCCCGTCCAGTGTAGCTCAGTGGTTGAGTGTCAACTTATGAACCAGGAGGTCATAGAGAAAAATATACAAGCAGGTGATAACATTGGTTGTCCTGATTAAGAGTACTGGGTGTTGGGAAGAAAGGACTGGAGAGGGAGCCTTTTTTCTTTTTTAAATATATTTTATTGATTTTTTTACAGAGAGGAAGGGAGAGGGATAGAGAGCTAGAAACATCGATGATCGAGAAACATCGATCAGCTGCCTCCTGCACACCCCCTACTGGGGATGTGCCCGCAACCAAGGTACATGCCCTTGACTGGAATCGAACCCGGGACCCTTTGGTCCGCAGGCTGACGCTCTATCCACTGAGCCAAACCAGTCAGGCCCTTTTTTATTTTTTTAATATGTATTTTTATTGATTTCAGAGAGGAAGGGAGAGGGAGAGAAACATCAATGATGACAATCATAGATCGTTTGCCTCCTGCATGCCCCCTACTGGGGATCGAGTCTGCAACCCTGGGCATGTGCTCTTTACCAGAATCGAAGCGCAGACCCTTCAGTCCACAGGCCGATGCTCTATATCCACTGAGCCAAACTGGCTAGGGCAAGGGAGCCATTTCTTAGTAGAAACTTTGCCCTTAAAATTAAAAATTCTTTGCTTTTTTTTTTATTTTAGGGAGGGAGGGAAGGAGGGAAGGAGAGAAACATCGACGTAAGAAACATCGATTGGTTACCTCCTGTATGTGCTCCCACCAAGGGTCAAGCCCACAGCCTATCTATGTGCCCTGACCTACAGCCTTCCACTGCTGGGAGCCATGCTCCAAGCAACTGAACCATACTGGCTAGGGCTGTCTTTACCTTAAGAAAAAAAATATATATATATACACACACACAGACATCCCTATGTATATACTGGGGATCGAGTCTGCAACCCTGGGCATGTGCTCTTTACCAGAATCGAAGCTCAGACCCTTCAGTCCACAGGCCTATGCTCTATATCCACCGAGCCAAACTGGCTAGGGCAAGGGAGCCATTTCTTAGTAGAAACTTTGCCCTTGAAATTAAAAATTATTTGCTTTTTTTTATTTTAGGGAGGGAGGGAGGGAAGGAAGGAGAGAAACATTGATGTGAGAAACATCGATTGGTTACCTCCTGTATGTGCCCCCACCAAGGGTCAAGCCCACAGCCTATCTATGTGCCCTGACCCACAGCCTTCCACTGCTGGGAGACATGTTCCAAGCAACTGAACCATACTGGCCATGGCGATCTTTGCCTTAAGAAAAAAAAAAATATATCATATATACACACACAGACATCCCTATGTATACACTGGGAATCGAACCCTGGCCTCCTGGTTCATAAGTTGACACTCAACCACTGGGCCATACTGGAACAGGCTATAGTTAAGTGAGTTTTGACAAATTTGTGCATCCATGGGACCATAACAAGACTTGGAATAGCCCTGGCTGGTGTGGCTCAGTGGATAGAGCATGGGCCTGGGGACTGAAGGGTCCCGGGTTTGATTCCGGTGAAGGGCACATGCCTGGGGTTGTGGGCTCGATCCCCACTGGGGAGCGTGCAACCAATCAATGATTCTCATCAGTGATGTTTCTATCCCCTCTTCTCTGAAATAAAAAAACATTTTTAAAAAGACTTGCAATATGCTCACCTCCCCCCAAAAAACTTTCCCATGCCCCTCATTTGTGCCTCCCTGATCCCAGACTGCCAGTGATCTGCTTTCAGCCATGAGTGATTAGTTTGGCCTCTTCTAGAATTTCATACGAATAGGATTGAATGTTTTACACTTTTCAGCCCATTAATAGTTTTGAGACCCATCCATGTTTTCTGTATCAATACTTTTCTGAGTGAGATTGCATCGTATGAATTCACAATTCCTTCTCTCATTCACCTATTGAACATTTGGGTCATTTTATTTTATGAGTTTTTTTTAAAAATCCTCACCCAAGGGTGTTTTTAAAGTTGATTTTAGAGAAAGAGGAAAACTCAGATGAGCAGTCTCCTGTATGCCCTGACTGGGGATCGAACCTGCAACCTTTAGTGCATGGGATGGTGTTTGTATCAACTGAGCCACCTGGCCAGGGATTATAATTTTTGACCCTGTGCCCTGGGGGCCCTACACAAGCCAACCAAATGATGGATAATGGACAAGAAACTGAGGCAAAGCCGGCGGGAAGCTCCCATGCCCTCCCCTGGAGAGGGGCAGAACCTTAAATATTGGGGTATGTTCCTGCAATCACGTCATCGCCTGGTTAATCCAGAGCACGCCTCACCAGCCGAGACCAGAGGTGGCCCCAGAGCTCCATGAGGGGCCTGCTGAGCTGAGGGGTGGCACGGCGTGTGGACCTGAGGGTGGGAGGCCAGCTGCTCTGAGCCCCGGCAGAGGCTGGTCTGGGCACTAAGAGGCACCACAGCTGCTTGCTTTTCCAACTTTATTTAGAAAAACAAATCCGGGTCCCAGTGCCCCCCTCCCCCACCCCAGCCATAACTTAAATAACTTAGAGACAGAGTTGAGGCCGCTGGGCCCACCGGCTCCCCCGTGGATCTCCGTGAGCAGGCGGGCGCGGGCCGCGTACTCCTCGTAGTTCTCCAAGAGCAGGCGGCCCGCCTCCTCGTTGAGGGCGGACTCGGGGTTGGGGTGGATCAGCAGGCACTTGATGGTCTGTGGGGAGAGAGCCAGGGTCAGGGGGGCCAGACGCCAAAACGCCAGTGATTGAGGGAAGGGCTTCCCCAACCCGAGTGATGGGGACAATTCAGGACTCACACCTGGACCTGTTGGACTCAAGCTCCTTTTACAAAACCACAGAAAGATGGGTGAACCAGAGCTGTCACTGGGTGAGCAGGAACCCCAAGTGCAGTCACAGACTCGGGCTGGGCAGCACCACACCCGACAGGCACCAGGATGTAAGGGGCCCCTCCACCTCCTCTAAAAGGGAGCAGGTGCCCTGACCTGTCTGGCCTGTCACGGGGCCAGCACCTGGCCCAGCACACATCACTGTGATAAGCAGGCCCCCAGGCCTGACCCTCATCTGACCACTGTGCCCCAAGCCAGAGGCCCTGGTGGCCATCCGTGTCCCCTGGCAGCCAGCACTGACACTAGGCAGGAGGGAAGGGCTGGAGGTCTGTTTACCTTGGAGCTCACTCCTCCCCCAAGCCCTGCAGGAACCCAACTCCCTGTCCTCCCAACCACCTGCCCCAGGGGCTCATTAAATTCAGTTTTCAAATTCTTAGGCTTGAGGGGTAGGGAGGCAGCAGGCCTGCAAGGCCCTGGGAGCAGGGTGCAGTCCAGGGCACCTCCATCTTGGCCTGCCTGTCGCTGCCCGTTTTACAGAGGGGCACCCCTGGCTGAGAAAGGATGTTCTGTGAGAACATTCTGGAATGACAGGCGACTGCACAAACTTTGTGGCTACTGAACAGCCAGCCAACTGTGCCCTTCAGAACAGTCACATCTCGTCCCTCACCACCGTTCACCGCGGAGTGCCCCGGGCCCTGAACACCCTGTACAGCGTGCGCGGTGTCCTGGGCCCACCGGGCAGGGCCAACGCCTCACTTTTCCAGAAAAGCCGGAACCTGGGTTTCCCACGTGGGCCCCCCACCACCAGAGCTGACTTCAGAGAAGCCACGCTCGGCCATCACGGGGCCCAGGGCCGGACTCACCAGCAGCACGTGCCGGATGCCCAACTCCGCCGTCCATCCCTCTTGAGCACGTTGACGCAGATCTCGCCGTTGGCGCCCACGTTGGGGTGGAAGATCTTGGTCAGGAAGTAGCCCGTGGGCGGGGAGGCAGGAAAGTCCTTCCCCAGCAGGAGTTTCATACGGAACAGGCCTCCGGCGTACGGGGTCCCCTCTGTGTGTGGGGAGGGGGCCAGGTCAGGGGGCACAGGACTCCCAGCACCCGCAAACCCCCAAAGCCCCGTCTCCTCGTTCCGGCTGTAATGCAAGTTCCCTGCTGCCTCCTCCAGACTGGGGAGCAGGACGGGCTAGGCTCCCCGGGGTCCGCAGGCACCCCCGTGCGTTAGCCCCCGACCATGGCCCCACTGGCATCACCCCAAGTGCTGGTCTGCACCCTGGACGCCTCTCCTCTCCCAAGTGAAGCCCCAGCCCCACTCCCTTCCCAAAAGGCACCAACACACCCACTTGTGCTCCCAGGAAAACATCCACCTGGAAGCCCTGAGGGCAAGTGACAGACAAGGCTCTCGGCCTCGCACTTGACCAGCCAGAAAGCCGTGGGTGTGTTCGAGACCCAGGGCCTTCCTGTGCCGTCCCAACATCTGACCCCTCCGCACCGGGCAGCTCGCCTCCAGGGCCACCCACTGCCCCCACCACAGGGTGCCCGCAGCGGTCGCCCGCCTCCAGCTTCTACCCCCCCTTCCCACCCACCACTGAAGTCATAGTGAGCTCTGCAGGGACCATCACACCTGCTTCACACCCGCCAACAGCTTCCTCTCCAAATCCCTACAGAGGCCCTATAACAGGGGTCCTCAAACTTTTTAAACAGGGGGCCAGTTCACTGTCCCTCAGACCGTTGGAGGGCCGGACTATAGTTTAAAAAAAACCTATGAACAAATTCCTATGCACACTGCACAGATCTTATTTTGAAGTGAAAAAACAAAATGGGAACAAATACAATATTTGTATTTGCATGTGGCCCGCGGGCCGTAGTTTGAGGACCCCTGCCCTATAAGGTCTGCTCCCTAATGGCTTCACGGGTTCTTCTTCTTTGCTTCTATGAAGTGCCCACCATCCCCCACCGCCCCCCTCATGAAGCACAGCAGGAATCACCTCCACTGTGGCCCCCGTCCCCCACCCCCGGTCCCCACTCCCGACTGGGCACTTCACCACCTTCTTGTAGCACCTCGGCTTCCTCTGTGGAAGTTAATAACAGAAGGCGGTGCACCTGAAACATGGTGGCAGGTCTGCACGATGGACCACTACGCGCACCACCCGATACTGCTGTGACCGTCCCAGCGCCTGTCCCTGCGGAATCAGGTCCCAGCCAACCCCGCCCTCCAGGCTGTGCGGCTGCACTCACCCCCTGAACTCCCACCCCCTGGAGGTCCGGGGGAGCCTTGTCTGCCAGCCTTGCCCCTCCCCAGGTAAGGCCCCCATCGAATGCTCCCGTGGCCACCAGGCCTGTCTCCCTGGCTAACAGAAGTGCACACGGTTACTTGTCACCTGTGAGGCTCTGCCCTGCAGACCGGGCACCTGCAGAGGAAGAGGCCTGCCTGTCCCGTCTGCCATTAGGTCCCCAGCAGCTGACAGAGTCCAGTGTACAATGGGCCTCCCTTCTCTCGTCCCACATTAGGAAAGTCTAGCAAGCGCGCCCCTCCCTGCTCCACCCCACACTCACCAGGGCCCTCGATGGTGACCTGCAGGTCCGTGAGGTCCTCTTCGTTGGGAAAGACCTTGATGCCATCGGGAGGGTCCGTGGTCAGCGTCGTCACCTCCTTGTACACCAGGCGGATGATGTGCGGGGGCAGGTTCTCCACGTTGGAGTTCTGGGCACAGAGAGGAGGAGGTGAGAGGCCGGCAGAACCCGGCCGTGCAGGACGCTGTCCCAGGCTGTCAACCACCCCGGGCTCGCAGGCCCCCTCCTGGGGTGCTGCACCCGGCCATCCCAGGCTGAGCGCCCTCCGCAGACGAGGGCGGTTCTCCGAGGGGGGTGGCGGGTGGCTCCATGCCCCCCAGGAGCCCCCGAAGCCCGTCCGTTGCCCCGCACGGGCAGCCAATGATTCCGGATTAAGCCGAGGCCTACCCTGTCCCCCTTCCTCCCCTAATCTTGGTAAAATAGCCCTGCAAACCCAGGATCGGGCCTGGAGATGGCAGCGGAGCGTTCTTGCTCCCGGAATACCCACAGACGGGCCACAAAGCCCGGACAGCAGCCCCCCATCGCCCCACGGCTCAGCCGGGCCTTCCCTCCAAGGAACCTGCGGGCCGCCCCGGCTCCTGCCCCACCTACAGGGAGGCCTGTGGGCACATCCCTGGCCCAGGACCCCCAGGCAGGCCCTCCTCCCCCCA